ATGGGGATCCTGTATGTTTGTTTGTTTGTTTTTCTTTCTTAATGTTAATTTTCATTTCTTATCTTTGGCTATTTCAATATAGTCCTTTCTTGGTCCCAGACTTAGCTATTTTTTTCCTGTTCTAGCTGTTGTCTCCCAAATTATGTGCATTGTTTTACTTTACCTAACAATGGCAATACACACAAAAAAGTGAAGAAGTACTCCCAGCCAGACAACTTTCAAAGCGTGCTTCTGAGTCTCTGGTATGAGAAGCAGGCAGGAGCTTTTACCTAGCTGCTACAGTCCCCCATGGAAACAGAAGGACTGAAGCAGCCCACGCTTTCCCTAGACCAGAATCATCCTAGTCTCAGGAAAGGGTGAAGAGCAGGGGAGAAGGGAGGCTGCAGGCTGAATGTATTTCTTCCTCTCCTGCAATCATTTTCCACCACTACAAACAAAAACTTATATGCAGTCTTGGCTTTATGCCCATGGACAGCTCCCTATGTGTGTGCATTGGATGAAATGCTACACACAGCGGTAGGCTCTTGATTTGGCAAACCATAATGTGAAGATCTAACAGAAAGTAGGAAAGCACTTAAAGTCTTTGTAAAGCTGAACTCTAAAAATAGAGGCAAATTGGAAGTCAGTGAGAATCTAATGTGTGAATGCATAAATGTATATATGTACTAATCTCTGAGAAGGTTCACTCGAGATCAGAACTTGTTTTTTGAAGCTTCTACATGTAGACTATTTTGATATTTACTTAACACTATCCTCTTGTACAAACAGGGGTCATATGAATGATATGTCATTACTTTCATAAGTACAACATATTTCCATCTAGTATAAAAATATCATCACAGACAAATGTCTTTGACAAGAAAATCTTGTAAGCCATTGACAAATGTTTTGAAGGTGTTAACTACTGATTTTTTTTTTTGTTTTTTTGCCTGTTTTTCTGCTAGGGGGTATAAAAGACATTGCAGCATTCAGTAATCTTTGTTATCCTTGGGTATTTATACACACATTTTTTTGTTCGGTGGTGTGCTGGAGATTCATTGCTTCTGTGCAGACTTGATTAATTGAGTCTGCTCCACACATGAGCTGACATGCACTGTGCTGCACTGTGTGCAGTTGTATACATGGTGAAATGTGCATCAGTACACAGAAATTGGTGATGGTGCACTTTTGAACTAAAGCACCTCTGAGATATTTTACTTCAAAAGTGCACATCAACCATTTTCTCAGTGCTGACATGCATTTTGTCACTTATACAACTGGAAGTGTCACAGTACCCAGCATTTTTCAAAGCACCTGTAGAAATGTCTCATGGTAAATGGGGCAAAAGAAGCTTTGACCTGGCTTTCTCTTAATCTATGCAGTTTAAGTGGATTTCAGGAATCATATCTGTTTTGCACACCTGAGTCAAAACACTCACTGACTGGCTTGCAGGTTGATTCTGTTTTAACATTTTAAACTTTGTGTCTCAGGACTCTATTCTGAATATTTTAATTAAGTCTTACTGCCAAGCATTCTCAAAGAATATTCAATAAATGCATCTTGTTACTTCTGTAACCTTGTCAGATAAACCAGGTTTGTTCCGCTCGAGTAATAGGGCTGTGTGAAATGGGACCTATTCAATTCAGATTTGGCCTGAATCGAGGACAGTGATTTGATCCATTGATTTGGATTACTGTCCCTGATTCAATTTGGCTAAATCGAAGTCTGAAGATTCGATGCTGATTCAGCGAATCAGTGATTCGGACACAGGTGTAGCTTTAAAAGTTTTTTTCTATATACCTTGATGTAGCAGCGTGGCTCGTGATCATTGGGATGCTGGGGTGGATGAAGCATCCAACAGGAGCATGGGGGAAGGGGGGGGGGGTCTTCAGTGTCCTCAGCAGCGAAACTGGAAGTGGACCAGAATTACCTCCAGTCCACTTCTGAGTCTGCCAGGCAGCACGTTGGGACCCCCTCTGTGCCTCTCCAGCTCAGCGATCAGCTGCAGGGGGACCTTGGGTGCCCTACCAGACCCAGGAGGCACCAGTCATCAAGCTGGGGGGAAATGGGGGGCCCCCCGTGTGCTCGTTGTGGACCAGGAAGTGGACCGGAAGTACTTCTGGTCCACTTCTGGGTCTGCTGCCAAGTGCACTGGGGAGCTCCCCGTGCTTCTGTGGGATACTGCATCTGCCCTAGCACTGCAGCATTCAGAGCACCTGCTACCTAGAGGTATGTAGAAAAAACATTTAAAACTGTATCTGCATCCGAATCTCCAAATCTGTTTGAATCTCTCCAAATCAATTTGCAGGGTTCTGAGTTGATTCGGAGAGATTAATTGGTCCTCTGATTCAATTCCAATTCAGAGATTCAACCACTGAATTGGGCCGAATCTCCACTGAATTGAATCAGGAACTGAGGCAGGCCTGGGGAGCTGAAAGGAATCCCCACCTCCTGCTCAGCCCCTGGCACAGGAGAGAGTGGGATGGAGTCCCCCAGACAGGTTGCCTGTCCATACAACCCAGTATGAGAGTTCCAGGTGAGGGCAGTGCTGGGCTGGGGGGCACATTCTCATCCCAGCCCCACTCACCAGATTGTCGGGGGACAAAGAGCCCCGCACTGTGTGGGCTTTCCCTCACCCTCTGCAGTGTGCAAACCCAGGCTAGGAGGTCCTGGGGGTCCATTCCCTTTCCCTTCATCCTTCTGGGTTGACAGGTGCAGGCTAAGGAGCAGAGGCTTTATTGCCTCAGCTCTGCTCCTCTGGAGCAGACCGCACAGCCCACAGCTGCAAAGTATCTTGGGATGCTGGGGAACTCTGAGGTAACTTGATTCAGGAGGCAATCTGGGACAGAAATTATATAAACCAGTTTAACTAAAACCAGTTTAACCTAAAACAGGCAAATCTGATACTATGTCCATCCAGGTTAGTTAAAGCTGGTTCAGCCATTTGGAAACCAATTTCTTTGAACTGATCTGTTCTGTTGCATGTTAAACTGGTTTTCAATCACTTAAATTGGTATATATGTAAATTCTGTCCATGGCCTCAAAGTTTGAACAATAATACTATCTCCAGAAACTCTGTCTAAATAATTTTTCCCTTGTTTTCAGTCTTTGGAAGTGTAGAACATATTTTGTCAGCAGCATTTTCTTTTTTAATTCAATACTCTTTTTGTTTTGTTACTTTAAAGAATAAAATTCTAAAGCATTGTCATGCAAGAGTTTTGTAGGAATTAGTTTCTAAAGCTGAGTCATGAGGTCATTCTACTTAGTATATCTTTGGGCTTACATTTAAGTGGTGATGAAAACCAAAGAAGTTTTTTTCTTGCTCAAAATAAGTTGTGCGTAAGCTATGCTAGATTTTAACTGAAGTGCTGTTTTGGGTGAGGGGGTTGTTTGTTTTTTACACTGAAGCACCTGAAGAAAAAAAATAAGTTACTTCATTCAGACTGTACACCTGCCTGCAATCTGAAAACACAATGTCAAGGTTGCTAAGCTTGAAACTTAACTTCCTTTGACAACTTTACCATTTATAGTTTTCTTACCTTGAGGCATATTTCATATTACTCTTCTATCCTTTCCCTTGTCTCATTGCTTCGGCTTTAATTTCCCTCTTGTTCTTGTGTAAAGCATTTTCATCTGAATAGGTTTTTCAGTATGTTTTTGTTGTTTGTGTTTGTTTTTGTCCTACAAAAAATGACTTTGTACAGTTTGATTGTCTATGAATTTAACAAACGGTATCTGTAATGTTGCCAACTTATTATGGCAACCACTTGTTGACTGAAAATCAAATTGCTGCTTAAAGAAACAGCATTACAGGGCAAAAATGTGCTGCAATATCCCTTTTTTTAAGGAAACTAATACTTTGTTGTTCTGCAGTATTTTTCATTGAAAGAAATACATTTTTTCATTGAAAGAATTTCATTGAATGAAATGTTTTCATTTTCACTGAAAACATAACATTTACTTCGTTCCTGTAGATTAAATTAAATATAATTTGCATTTTGAAGATGGGAATCTTTCTGTGCTTTAATTTCCTTAATGCCAAGGTGGAAGTTAGTAAAAGTACTGAGAACAGTTTCTAGATCTTGTCTCCTAAATCTTGTTTCAGCTTCCAGTTGACACATTTTCAAAAGAATCAATTGTCACAATAACTCATTTTAGGTTTGCATACAATGGCATTTAAAAAAAAATTAGTAGTGCTACTGAAAATCCTGCCTTTCAAAACGAAGGTGTAGAGGAAATAGAATTTCACCTTTGATTAAATAAGATAAAAAGTAAGTAAGGCTTCTTTTCAGCAAACTGTTACATTCACTTTTAACTTTAATCACATGAGTAATTATAACTTTTTTCAGCAGAGGACTAAAATCAGTGAAATATACACATGCTTAAATCTTTGCTAACCAAGTTCTGAATGATAGGGTATATGCTTTCCTTTCATTTAGTTTTTAGCCTCTTTCTACAACATTTGGGATATGCAGGGGTTTTGCAAAAGAATAAGAAATGAAAAATAAAATGATATTGAGATCTTAAACTGTGATGCTTGGAAATACTGTCTATGCAGCAAGAAAAAACATCGAAATGGAAAGAATGTAGACATCAAAAAGCAAGAATGCCCATTGCAAAATAGAAAAGCCAGTCTGAAATCTCTATCCTTCCCATCTTCTTACTACTTGAACAAGATTTAATGAAAAGGAAATATAGGAGCTTTGCTTATAGGGATCCTTTGCAAGTTGATGAATTACAATATGCAATAAAATTAAAAAAAACACATACAGACATATAAGCAGGAGCAACAGCAGAAGTTATACTTTTACACATTTTCTTATGAGATTCAGTTGAAGATAACTTGATCTTCATGGGCTGAGGGAGGACCTTGATTAATTTGTACAAAAAACTTAAAAATGAACTAATCAGAAAGTGCCCATATATAACTTTTATAATAGATAAATCAATAAAAACACTGTAATTATTTAATCCTACCATATAGCATATACTTGTATTTTGTTTTTTTGTTTCTTTTGCAGACATCAAATAAGACCTTTGACATCCCTCTAACTTTGTCTGGAGCTGTAGTTTTACGAGAGAGACTAAATTATGAAGAGAAAACGCGGTATTTAGTCATTGTCCAAGCAAACGTAAGTATAAATTCTTTAATGGTTATTTCTTACACCAATTCTTTCCAAATTTGTTGACTAAGATTTTCTTAGGAGAAAAGAACAATCTTGTCCATATACCAGGTCCCAGGTGCCTTTTCCCATAACTCATCAGTGTCAAAATATTGTCCAATATCTCTTTATCCCATACTGTCTTTTTAACAGCCTGACATTGTTATTACTGGTTAGAAAAAAACCCTTTATTTTTGTCCTGAAACAAGGCATTCATTTTAGCACTGGGAATGGGGAATATATTTTTAGTATATTCCATATTGAAAAGTGCATTCTGGTGTCAATAAGTGTCCATTTTCTGACACATCCAGCAATACTAATTTGATCCAAAATGAGTTTAATGGATACAATTTAGCTGCATCCCTCAGTTTTGAAATGCAGCCTTCTATAAAAGGCAATTTTTCTTTCAAGTCATACCATATGTGTTAAAGGTTTTTACAGGGTATCTAGTACTGGAAAATGCATGCTGAAAATAAGTGACATTTAAAATGCATCAAATATATCTGTCATTGGGAGAGGCTTTACATGTCCTTGAAGGCAATGACAGCACTAATCCATCCCCCTTTTCTTCTGTTTCTAATAAGTGGGGAAAATAGTCCCGTTCAGATCTTTACCTCTGAAATGCCTGGACATAGTAAATGCGACACACAAATGGTGTTAAACCATTTCATTTTTTAAATAGTCTGTTTTCACTGTGTTGCCCTGGTCAACATTATACAACAAATGAGGAAAGCTATTTGGAAATTTCTATTTGAGATTTGTATAATGTAAATATATCAGGCTCTTTGTATTACTCCACGCTAAAATACAGTTCCTAATTTAGGTATCAGACCTGCATGCCCCCTCCAAAAAAAAAACTTGTAAGCAATGTACTCTTTGGGAGTACTGCATGGTGCAGGACCCAGGTAACTCATAAAGACATGGTTATCTCATATAAGCAGCTCATCCTTTTTTCTCAGGGGCATGACACAGAGCTAGAACTCCTTCCACTTCCAACAACTGAGAGGAAGAATGAATGCCAGAGCTGGTTCTGAATTAAAGCTGAATTAAGATTTCAAGAACAAATTTAAATGTTGAATTTTCTAAATTTTGAATGAGTGACTTAGCAATCTAAATAGATCTCTTATCTACTAGGGTACTCTTAACTCAATTACTATGTAATATAGTAATTGTTTATTTTTGAAAGGAGCCACATAAATACAAAATAGTTGTTGCTACTGTTTTTGTTATATGAAATTACAAAAGGGAAGTTCATGAGAGTACATGAACCTACATGAGTTTTCTTTTTATTTTAGATGGATAGATGGGGCATTTTAACTTTCCCAGGTTTCTGCAAGAATCCTCAGGCTTTCAGCAGCAATAGAACTATGCTAAGGATTGAATTTGTGCATGATTTTACGATGTGGTCGATTTGACCTAATTCTACTACAGAATCACAGGCACATGTTTGCTGGCAATATGCCCAAATGAGCCAGTCTCCTGCTCTTTGTTGTATGTTGGGCTTTCATTCCCTGGATTTTCTAGGAATGGTAGCTCAGTCCTAGCAGACCTCTGAAAGCAGACCTCTGAAGGCTGTTCTTGGGTCCAAGTTACATAGCAGTTTGAAATGGCTTCATTTTTGCCCCAAGCCATCATTCTTTGGGTCCAAGGATCAAACATCTGTTCTAGGATTAACAGTGACATCTACCCAAGGACTTCAAATGCCAGATCTCTTCAATCTAGTATCATAGATGTGGCTTTCTTCCAAAGCCCCTTATTGTATACTGCATCTAAGTCTCTAATGACAAAGCCAAATATATATGCATTTGCCTTCTAGGGTTAAGTAAATCAGTAGGCCATTCCTCTTTTATTACTTGGGGTCTCTCCTTGGCTGTTTTGGCACAAGCATGCGTTTTGAGTCCAGCATCAACTCTTCAACATAGGATCTAATTTCTAAGTCCTCTCCCCTGTACTTGAATAGGAGACATAAAAAAACATAACAATGAACATAAGAAAGGAACTTCATATGCAGTAGAAATTCTTATCCTTTTCATTTTCATCTGGCCTAGTTTAGGAGTCCACTGCACTAGATTCACCAGTGCAATATCTGGGGTTACTGGCAAATGCTAGTGGTGATTTATCATGGGAACTCCATGGTGAGAATGCTTTGAATATCACCTGTTTTTTCATGTACAGGAACCTGGCCAACTTTCCATATGCAAAAGAAGATCTCTACTGTGCAAGTGTTTCATTCCAACTTAGAACTTTTTCTAGTCATACCTTAATCCTGTCCATCCAGAAAGCAAATTGGGGTGCTCAGGACAGACACTTATCAGCCAGTTCCTATACCTGCCACTGTAGGGGCCTTGTAACATGTTGCACTTTGAGCAGTTTAAACATTGGTATTAGTGCTAGCTTGAGTTTGGAATAGGCACACCTTAAGACTAACATTTTCTATGACTATCCACTACCTGCATATCTGTGAGTTGCAACTAGAGAATTGGCAAGCAGGGGTCTGAAGGTCTACAGCTGTGAGTTGCCACTGCAGGGCAGTAAGCCAGGACAGGCTTCTGTCCCTGCACTAAGAGGGAGTGGGGGAGGGGGGGTGGAGTGGGGGCGGGGAGGTGGAGAAGCTGAAAGGTGGAGAAACTAGGATAAGGGTGAGTAATGAAATGGATGGTGGAAAGGAAATGGGGATGGAGGAAGGATGGTGAAAGGAAGGAAGTCAGCCACTGAAGAATAAAATAAAAAGTAAATTAAAAAGAATTAAAGGGGAAGTAAATTAAAGAAGGTATCATGTTTCTTAAATAAGGATTTGGGATTGGGGTGTGGAGGGTGCTGGTCTTGCTTCCCAGAATGGCTGGTAGGTGGGAACAGTGAGGGCAAGATGCTTTTGGAGTAGCTACCCCTGCCCTGCGAAGGAAACTCCAGTTCATGGAATCCAATCTGTCCCCCTACCCTGTTCCCTCCCCATTCCGCCTAGACCCCACTCCTGGACTCATCTATGCCCTATGACTTGGCTAGCTGGCATGAGCTCTGCAGGCTGTTTGCATGGGATAGCACCCCGGCCTTGGCTTCACCACAATCCGCTGGCTGATGAATTGGCTCCGTGGTCAGACCCAGAGGCTGGTAGTTGGCAGAAGTCAATCATCGTGGTATGCTGTGACCAGCAGGGTCCCTCAAGGCTCTGTCCTTGGGCCAACACTTTTCAACATCTTCATTAATGATGCAGACATTAGTAACAGAAGTGAACTGGCCAAATTCGCTGATGACACCAAACTTTGGGGTAAAGCGCCCACACCTAAGGACAGGAGGGTGATCCAGGCTGACCTTGACAGGCTCAAGAAATGGGTGGATGAGAACCTGATGGTGTTTAACACCAAAAAATGCAAGGTTCTCCACCTTGGGAAGAAAAATCCACAACATGGTTATAGGCTCGGCAGTGCTACGCTGGCTAGCTCTATGGACGAAAGGGACTTGGAGTTCATGACTGACCACAAGATGAACATGAGCCTTCAATATGATGCTGCGGCTAATAAAGTGAGCAAAATGCTGGCTTGCATCCATAGATGCTTCTTAAGCAAATCCCAGAATGCCATTTCCCATTGTACTTGACCTTGGTGAAGCCACAGCTGGAGTACTGTGTCCAGTTTTGGGCTCCACAATTCAAAAAGAATGTGAAGAAGCTTGAGAGAGTCCAGAAGAGAGCCACATGCATGATCAGAGGTCAGGAAAACAGACCTTATGATGAAAGGCTGAGAGCCATGGGACTCTTCAGCCAGGAAAAGCACAGGCTCTGGGGTGATCTGGTGGCTTCCTATAAGTTTATAAGGTGTACTCACCAGGATCTGGGGGAATGTCTGTTCACCAGAGCGCCCCAATATATAACAAGTTTGAATGGTCACAAACTCCTCCATGACCATTTCAGGCTGGACATAATGAAGAATTTCTTTACTGTCCAAGCCCCCAAGGTTTGGAATAGGCTGCCACCAGATGTGGTTCAAGCATCTACTTTGAACGCCTTCAAGAGAAATTTGGATGCTTAGCTTGCTGGGATCCTATGATCCCTGCTGACTTCCTGCCCCTGGGGCAGGGGGCTGGACATGATGATTTTCCAAGGTCCCTTCCAGCCCTAATGTCTATGAAACTCCTGTGTGGGGGAAGGTCACACCCCTGTGGTGGGAGGGGGAGTTGGCTCGGTGTCCAAACTGCCCCTTGGGAAGTAGAGTTCAGGGGGTGGAAAGGCTGTCTGTACAGAACAGGATGGTTGGGGAAGAGAAGCTGTATTCTGGAATGCTGGAGGACTGCAACTTGGGCAGGTTATCTGTGGGGAGTGGCTCCACATTAATGGAACATGAATTGGGTAACACATCAGAAATAAACCTTCCCTGGGGTGATGTGAATTTAAGTTGCAGGGGTTAAGAGCTCCAGGAGCTACCTAAATTAATGTGTAACAGGTCCCTACCTTTCAGTCTCTTCACATGCCTGGCTCCTACAGAGAGCCCACTTTCACCTGGGTGTCACTACATGCTAATCTCTCAGAGGTGAAGTATATTGATGGTCCTCTTTTTTGATGGTCCTTATGCAACAGGAATAAAGACATTATTTACCAGTGACTTGTTTTTCAAGAGTCATCTCTGTGCATTTATACCTCCTGCCCATCTTTGCCCATCTTTGTCTGTTAACCTGTAAACACAGATGTTTTGCTTTTGAATTTAGTCTTTGCAGGATTGAGACCATAATGACTGATTCTTTATTATTCAATAGTTCAACTACTGATACAAATAAAAACTCTCTCAAGCTTAGGCTTTAGTCATGTAACCCTTACTACCCATTCACCAATCATCCTCTGCACCTGGGATTAAAGGCTGCATGTATAGATATATACTAAACACTCTTGTAAATCTCTCAGTGTATTTAAACTGGTGTTGATTTCAGTGACATTTGGAAATGCTTAATGATGATAGAATTGGTCAGATAAAAAGAAAAAT